GCAAGAGCATCTCGCTCATTGTAGGCCTTCTTGCGGTTCTTGTTGATATAATGAGCTTTCTGGATCTGCTTCAGGGCATACACCTCTTCCTGAGATAAAGGTCTGGACTCGGACCGTGCAGCTAAAGGCTTGGACTCTCGCAGCTCGGACTCTGCATCCTCCAAAAAGTTTGGGAATCCGGGTTAAACCAAGCAACAAAGCAACAAATTGTGCATTGTGTTTAGGTTCATGAATATCCCGGAAGAAGACCACTACTCATCAATCCCAATTCAGGCATCAAAACCGACAGAAATACCAAGTAGAAGCAGAACACTGACATACTCCGCATATGCAGTACTGAAAGTCTGAAAACAGAAACTAAGTAGATTCGGAGTGTAGGCTTCTCATCTTCATGCGATACTGCCGAGATTCCGTACCCTGCCTTTGGACGAGGTGTACCACCTCAGTGCTACATACCAGAGATCCCCATAATCTACATTAACATCTTCTGCTTGGCCTTGTGCGTTCATTTTAATTCAGAACTCCGAAACAAATCCTGGAAATCCCTACAGAACCAAAAGAGCACTAAGGGCACCACTCCGAAAGCTCCCTTCCCAAGCACGCGGAGGGAGGAGAAGTCCTTGATGGACCACCTCAGGGTTACAGAAAGGGTATGGGTTTGGGATTTTGGTGCTCCTAAAGATGCTTATTCGGGCTGGAGGTTGTTTTCAGATGGGTCTTTGGTCGCTGCGGAGAGCCTCCTCAGGTACGCTCCTTGCCGCTCCTTCTTCGCCTCGATCTCGTCTAACCTCGCCCGTGTCCAATCCGAAGGCGTCTCATATCCCGCGCGCTGCTCGCGAGCGTTCGCACGGAAAACTTTCTCGGCTCGAATCTCGTCCTGGCGCTGCTCATCAAGGCCCGCCTTTAGCTGCCTGTGTCTGTCGAAGAACTTCTTTCTGGCTTCCTTTTCCTGCTCTTGGATGTCCTTGCATGGGAAGAGGTTTGGAAAAAGGAAAGAAGGACCACCACCACCACCACTACTTCTATTCCTGTTCATACTCCTACTTCACTCCTCCTGCTCCTCCCTGCCCCGTACTCCTTCTCCAACTCCGCCCCCCCCCCCCCAACTCCTGCTCCTAGTCCTACTGCTGCCCCTGCTTGCAGAAACCATGCTTGGCAGCGTGGCTACTGCATTTTTGACCGGCTTATGGCTTAGCTCCTGTGGGCTTGCATCGGCACGGCCGGGGATGGGCAGGGACGATGGATTCGACATCGGAGACGTCGGAGAGGCGGAGGAGGCCAAGACTTGGATGTGGCGGAGCCAAACAGCTGCAGTGACAACTATGGAGTCGACGATGATGGTTGCCATGACGGCAACAATGGAAAATCTTGAAGATGTTGAATATTTACAATGAATCATGATACTAGTAGGAATTCATAGATGTTACAAATTAAGAGAAATATTGATACCAACAGGGACAGAGAGCACATTCAGGAACAAACAGTCACGATAAGAAGTCACAGACGCTCCTGCGCAACCCCGACTACATGTGCCAACATATGGGGCCCGGGATTGCCAGAATCCAAGCCTCAACTCTCACAAACCCTGCCCGGTCCATTGAAGACCGCCCAACTTTATCGTGGCACTTCGGTACAGCCCTCACCCAGCCTCTCTGTTAGCAGGTCTTGAGAGGCACGCCCAAGGATCCTCAACAAAGAAACACTCTGTGTCTGCAGCCCACCTGAGTTTGGCAGCGGCAGCTGCCTGGCAGGCCGCGCGGTAGCGCTGCAGAGCTTGGGTGTGGAGCTGCCGCACCTGGTTTAGGGTTCAGGGCCGTGTAGCGCCTACATGGGCTTCACAAGGTTTTGGCAGGGTGAAGGTCTTTTTGAGGTTTTGCCTCTCGCAACTCGCTCAAGGCAGGCAAGGCTCACGACAAGTGGGTTCGAGGGTTAGGGCTAGGACTCTCGCAACTTGGGCAATTCAGGCGACAGGTCTGCTGCTGTTTACCATAGACAACAGGCTGAATCGCAATTTTAGCGTTTGTTTTGCAAAGCCGCCACCTGCTGGAGGAGCGACTTGGCCACCGCCTTGGCACCCCGCTGCCGCAGCGCCGTGCGTGCCGATGGGGGCAGCGTGCCGGTCTGCAGGAGGGCGCGGCAAACCGACGGGCCGAAGGGATCCGAGTCCGTGGCCTCCTTTGAAGGTTTATGGGTTCTCAAAAGCGAAGTAGAGGTATGCGTACCGCGTGACTAAGTGTGGGCACTTACTACCAACGGGAGCTACGGCATTTGTATACCAAACCGATACTTGGTCTTTAGTTACTCAGTTCCAAAAGCAATTTCTAAGTCCCCTGATCCTTTGATTCTTGCGTCCTGGAGGTGGCAGCGCGGTGAGTCGAAGCCTTGCGACGATGTCAGAGATGCTGCGCTCGCCCCGGCTTCAACCGGGCTCGCTTTCCTGTGCTGTCTTCAATGGCCCCGGAAGTTGTTACGGAAAAATATCATATGAAGGAGTCTGGGTACCCTTATATGATCAGATGATAAGGGACAGTAAACAGAATCCCAGATTGCCGGCGAGTTTCAGGGGCCGAAGCGAGAGGAGATCTTCAATGAGCTGAGAGACGCAGTGGCTCTGAAGCTGCTCCGCATCCGGCAGCCGGTGTCCAGCGGCCTCTTGGAACTTCCTGGGCAGTCTTAGGAGTTAGGATTAAGGCCTTGGGGATATAGACCCTTTGAGTAAGGTCCCTTTTAAAGGGTCTCCCTAATACTATCTGGGATCTTGCTGGTGAACTTAGTCTAATTAGAACCTCATCTAAGCTATCATGGTAAGGATATTCTGCACATAGCAGAAGAACATGCATTCCTTCTACATCTTCTATGATCATAAGATTGAGTTGCTGGTACAACGCAGCAGAATGTGTATTCCTTACTATGGCAGCTGATACCAAGCTCCTTAACATGAGCTCAGCTTCAGGTGGGTGCGCCAGCGCGCGTTGTCGGCCAGCAGGCGGCTGATCTCGGCCTCCTGCCACAGCAGCACCTGGACCCAGTGGGTCTCTGCCGTCTTGGGCATCTCAAGAGTCGCACGTCGCAGCCCTTCTTCCACCGCAGGCAGCCCCGAGTAGCCAAGCCACTGAGAGAGGCCGAGATCCAAAGCTCTCACTGCATCGGGATAATCTTCCCAAAAGCTCTCGTGTCTCATCTGCAAGTCACCCACGCGAACCCACGCAGCACGGAAGTTCTCCATGCCCCGGGCTTGCTCTTGCAGGCTTGGGCTTCCCTCCTCGGGTACGCGTGGGGATGGGCTCCGCTCTGCCGACATCCTTCTGACTCCCGCGGGAGCTCCCTGGGCTCCCTCGACTGCCCTTCGTGGCGTGGCCTGCAACTGCGGCGCCTGCACCAGCTCCGCACGTCTGCGGTGTAGCTCTGCATATGGGCTGGAGTTCTTATGCGAATCGGACACCTGGTTCGGGGTGGCCGGCGGATTGAACTCCAAGAGCCTTCTGTGAGCCGCGGGCGACAAAGGCGGTGGGGACCCGAAGCTGTGAGTTGGCCTGGACCGTAGAACCGGCGAGGGCCCGTGGGAGGGCCCACCGGGAGCTTCGGCAATGGGGAGCTGCTCCGGGAAGGAGCGCTGCTCCGGCGGGGGCGATCGGTAGCTGGGAGGAGGGCTCAGCCCGGTCCTTCGATGTGGAGGTGGGGTGGCGGGGGTGGCGGGGGTGGAGGGCGAAGGTGAAAGCATGACTTTGGGTCCTCGAGACAAGCCTGGCGAGGAGGCGGAGGCTGTCGGTGACAGGGAAAGAGCTGCAGGCTTCTGGCGCAAGGTTGTGGGCGCCTGCTCCACCTGATTTCTTGGCGAGGGCTTGCGGAGCGTTGAGACCCAGGACGGTTCATGCAAGTGAGTTTGAGGTAGAGCCGGAAACGCTCCGACCTTCCGATCCCCATTCTTTCCCTTAACTTTCGGCGATTTGGGCGTCGCCTGCGGCTCACTGGGTTCGAGGCTGCAGGTCGGCAAGCTGGCGCTTGTTTGAGGAGACGTGGGCCGTGGGAGGCGAGCAGCACTCAGCTCTGTCGATTGCTCGGCTGCAGTGGGGGACTTGGGAGACGCGGTCTCACTCTCAAGCAGAGGCACAGTGCTGGTCAGCGAGGCGACCTCCGTTGCAAGAGCTTGCTCGGCTTGCTCCGTGTCTTCTGGGACGGCCTCGGATGGCTCCCTGCAGCCACGGCCTTCTTTCAGGAATTCCAAAGCTTTCGTCCAGGAACTCACTCCGTCCATGGCTTCAACTAGTCTGTGTCATCACGACAAGAGTCATCGTGGGTGCCAAAGCAGTTTGGCCGTGCTCGGTCCAGTCGGGAAGGATGGCACTTCGACATCTTCTCGATGCTTCTCAGCTGATGCTTGCTTCTGTGCGGCACTAAGTAAATTATTCCGCTTTTGCGAATATTCCAGTAAAACTTGCAGCGTTACAGACGCTCGAACAAAGAGTACGTACCTGTGAGGCACCGCTGCATCTGTACTTTTTGGGCAAGTTAAAGCTGCAGGCACTCAGTCGACTGGCTTGCTTTGGAAACGTGCATCTGAGCATACATGGACATGGGATGCCTATGCGCGCAGGACGAGTCGCGACCAAGCACGTCGGCAAGTTTCTGTCTAAGCACGGCGAAACTAGCCAACGAAATCAAGGCCTCTACACCCCAAAAGCATCAAAATTGATCAACGGTCGTGACCATGCAAGGACGAACAATCAACGCTGACTTAACAAGGCATGACAGCCATCACTAGAACCAACAGCAACGACAAGCATGAGACTCCCGGCACACGTCACAAACATCTTTGCCAAATCCTAATCTCGTCCCCCCTTCCTGGCTCTGCAAGGCCATCTCCGACACAAAGGATCCGAACCTAGATCATGATCTAGCCCTCAGATGCATCATGGATCCTTTGTATCAGGGCCCTGACACAAGGGGTCGCCAAATTGTCAGAAGCCCCCCCCCCCCATCTGCCCATCTGAGCCGCAGACTCAGCCTCGGCACCTTCCTGCGTACCTCAGGGGTGGCTGGTCGTTGTTGGTGTTCTTTTCAACCCTCTTTTCTGTCCGCTATCGCTAGGCTCCGGCAGGCCACGTGGGCTGAGGGAGGGGATTACTGTTTTTGGTGTCGGGTTCAGGGTTTAGGGAAGCTCACGAAGTGGGCCTTCTTTGGCGTCTACGGCGTTGGGGCTTTTACGGTGTAAGGTCCTGTAGAAGCTCTTCTATTTATGTCTTCTTGTGTTTTAATGATTCCACAAGTCTTCTGATGGTGTTCATCGTTGCTGCGGGGGACCAGCCGTCTTTCACATATTCCAAATGGGAAATTTCTCTCTATGGCCATGTATGGGTTTGTAACTGTTGCTTCGTGGTAATTCCCACTGTCTGTGTTCGTATATTGGATTTTGTCGGCAAGACCCCTCCGCAGAAAGTAACACCGCCATACAGTCTAAGCCATGAAACAACTGTTCAACAGATCAAAGGTCTAAACAAACCATACAAACAATTACAACGGAGAGAGTGACTAAATCATCAAGCCATAAATTTCCTATCAAAGTAACTGCCGGCGCAAAGCTCTTCTTTGCCGTTGTCGGTCTTCGCGAGTTTAGGGGTTCCGAGTTTCAAGGTTACGCTCTCACAACTCGGTCCAGCCAGGTGAAGTCTCCCCGTTCCTAGTCGGCCCAGTGGGACACGCCGAAGCTCCACGAACTCAATAAAAGACGAGAAGGGATATGCAGCCCAAAAGATGAGAAAGTACGAAGCCAGAAAGATGGTACATCATTATAACGTAAAAGTAGAGGGAATCCTGACACGAATCATCCTAAGTCCATGCTCCAACTTTCTGGGGTTCACTATAAGAGTACCAAGTAACACTGGTTAAGCCCATACTGGTCCAACTGCAACGGAGTCGCGCCCTGGCTGTCCATTCTCAGCGTGACTACTCGCGGCATCGCCTGGTACGAAAGAGGCAAGTATATCCCTAACTACTTGTAGCCAAAACCCAAATTGTAGCAAGCGATGTTCTCTTCAAAAAGAACCTTGTCTTGGATTGAAGTCAATATAGGCCGATGCTGCCACTTCCAGAAACCGAGCCTCTAAGCTCCACGCCCTACGCAAAATCATGGTTTGATCAGTTTGATCTTTGGTTTTCCGGAGGTTGGACGCAGAAGCGTTCAAGCCTCCGCACCTCAAGACTCCCCAAACTTGCTCGCCCATGGTCCTTCTCCTGCTCCCCCTCCATTCTTCTTGGCGTCCTCTCTACTCCCTAGCCTTCCGAATTTGTGTTCTTGCTGCCGCAACTTCAGCCGACCCTGGAGCTCAACCCCGTGCAAATCCTGCAGCCCAAGTCCGCAAGTAACCAAAACCAAACTTCAATCCCTGCAGCCCGGAAATCCCTAAACCCTGCAATCCCTGCATCTCTCATCCCCGCATTCGCAAACAAGAAAACAGAAGAAAGAGCTGCTGGGTCGAACGCCAGCGCCACCGCCCTCGTCGTCCTTCCCATCCCCATCCTGGCAGAACCGAGGTCTGCATAGAGGTTGTGTCACACAGCCTTTAAAAGCATCTGGTACAAGCGGACTGTAACCGTCACTTTTGCAATAGTCGTCATCGTCCCGGTGGCGCCCGTAGTCGTCGTCAGCACTGCTTGCTGTAGTACGAGTGCTGACGAAAGTCGCGAAAACATCCTCGTGCCATAATTCTTGTGATCCTATTGGCTATCTTGTCCCATGCTGTTATTCTTGTACTATCTGTTGCTATCTGCTTGTTGTTCATGGGAACAGCCGGTCCTGCACGCCGTCTTCGCTTTGAAGACCGTCGCGGAGAGGACGGCGAGCACCCTGAGAACATGCTCAGCGCCAAACCCTGAAGCCCTTCCCGCAAGCTGTCATCCTAAAATGAAATGCCTCGGCATTGCATGGCACTGGGCGCAAGCCTCCTCGATCCAGAAAGTAGAGGAGTCTTGCTCTCCCAGGGATTGAGACTCCGAGGTTCGGACTTTAGCCTTTTTGGGTTTACGGCTTAGAATGGGGACCTATGTCCATTAAGCTTCGGGGTAGTTGGCTCAAGAACGAGCGCACGATATCTGCCGATGCTTTCACGAAAACAGTCGACCAACGCTCGGGTTGGAAACCTCAAGCCTTTTGCTCAGGGTTCGCCTGGACCCTCAAACCCCAACGTGGGCCGAAGCACACCTCCTCCCCATCGCCATCAAGCGACCTGTCATGCTTGGGGCGTGCAACATGTCAGTTCAATTTCCGGCCAACACTGGTATCCGCGAAGACTTGTCTGGCATACTGAACACCACCGGAGATCACCGGAGATCACAACCACAATGCCATGGACTGCAGCCCAGAAATCAAGTCACCAGTCCTCTCGAACCCCTAATTGAACCCCTCTAAACCTCAAACCTTCCCCCGAACCCGTTTGCAAAACTCATGCAAGACCGCTGCCCCCAAGGGTGGTGGAAGTCCCCCTGTTTTGCAAGCCATCCTCAAAACCTGCAATGGAACGACCCCTAATGCCTAAGTTCTAAACACACCATCCTGCAACCCCTCTGATCCTGAGCCCTGGCGTTCGGCCTCCCCCATTGGGGGAGTTGGGCCTCCTATTTGACTTAGAGACTTAGACTTTCGGCCTCGCCTAGGGGCCGCGCTTTGCAACCTTTGAGTTTCAGCATCTACTTTATTAGGACCAAGTTCTGTGACTTGGAGTGCGGCCGCCCCCGACGGGGGAGTTGGGCCTCCTATGTGACTTAGAGACTTAGACTTTCGGCCTCGCCTAGGGGCCGCGCTTTGTAAGCTTTGAGTTTCAGCATCTACTTTATTGGGACCAAGTTCTGTGACTTGGAGTTCGGCCGCCCCCAATGGGGGAGTTGGGCCTCCTATGTGACTTAGAGACTTAGACTTTCGGCCTCGCCTAGCGGCCGCGCTTTGTAAGCTTTGAGTTTCAGCATCTACTTTATTAGGACCAAGTTCTGTGACTTGGAGTTCGGCCGCCCCCGACGGGGAGTTGGGCCTCCTATGTGACTTGGAGACTTAGACTTTCGGCCTCGCCTAGGGGCCGCGCTTTGTAACCTTTGAGTTTCAGCATCGAATCTACTTTATTGGGACCAAGTTCTGTGACTTGGAGTTCGGCCGCCCCCAATGGGAGAGTTGGGCCTCCTATGTGACTTAGAGACTTAGACTTTCGGCCTCGCCTACGGGCCGCGCTTTGTAAGCTTTGAGTTTCAGCATCTACTTTATCGGGACCAAGTTCTGTGGCTTGGAGTTCGGCCGCCCCCAATGGGGGAGTTGGGCCTCCTATGTGACTTAGAGACTTAGACTTTCGGCCTCGCCTAGCGGCCGCGCTTTGTAAGCTTTGAGTTTCAGCATCTACTTTATTAGGACCAAGTTCTGTGACTTGGAGTTCGGCCGCCCCCGACGGGGAGTTGGGCCTCCTATGTGACTTGGAGACTTAGACTTTCGGCCTCGCCTAGGGGCCGCGCTTTGTAACCTTTGAGTTTCAGCATCGAATCTACTTTATTGGGACCAAGTTCTGTGACTTGGAGTTCGGCCGCCCCCAATGGGAGAGTTGGGCCTCCTATGTGACTTAGAGACTTAGACTTTCGGCCTCGCCTACGGGCCGCGCTTTGTAAGCTTTGAGTTTCAGCATCTACTTTATCGGGACCAAGTTCTGTGGCTTGGAGTTCGGCCGCCCCCAATGGGGGAGTTGGGCCTCCTATGTGACTTAGAGACATAGACTTTCGGCCTCGCCTAGGGGCCGCGCTTTGTAAGTTTGAGTTTCAGCATCTACTTTATTGGGACCAAGTTCTGTGACTTGGAGTTCGGCCGCCCCCAATGGGGGAGTTGGGCCTCCTATGTGACTTAGAGACTTAGACTTTCGGCCTCGCCTACGGGCCGCGCTTTGTAAGCTTTGAGTTTCAGCATCTACTTTATCGGGACCAAGTTCTGTGGCTTGGAGTTCGGCCGCCCCCAATGGGGGAGTTGGGCCTCCTATGTGACTTAGAGACTTGGACATTCGGCCTCGCCTAGGGGCCGCGCTTTGTAAGCTTTGAGTTTCAGCATCTACTTTATTTGGGACCAAGTTCCGTGAGTTGGAGTTCGGCCGCCCCAATGGGGGAGTTGGCCTCCTATGTGACTTAGAGACTTGGACTTTCGGCCTCCGCCTAGGGGCCGCGCTTTGTAACCTTTGAGTTTCAAGCATCTACTTTATTGGGACCAAGTTCTGTGACTTGGAGTTCGGCTGCCCAATGGGGGAGTTGGGCCTCCTATGTGACTTAGAGACTTTTTTGTCACTCGTGCTCAGAGACTTAGACTTTCGGCCTCCGCCTAGGGGCCGCGCTTTGTAACCTTTGAGTTTCAGCATCTACCTTATTGGGACCAAGTTCTGTAACTTGGAGTTCGGCCGCCCCGATGGGGGAGTTGGGCCTCCTATGTGACTTAGAGACTTAGAGTTTCGGCGTCCACCTATGGGGCCGCGCTTTGTGACTTCGAGTTTCGGCCCCTGCTTTATGGGGTGCCATGTTCTTTGACTTAGCTACAACGGCTTCTCAGATTTTGGTTGCTCGTGGGGCCCGTGGGTTCAGAGCTGGTGGTGTTGGCGTCTCGATACACCCGGCACTGCCAGGAAGCATGCCAACTGACACCTGGTGATTGCGCAAGGGTTTCGGTGAAGCTTTCCGATGTCAGAGGCGGCATGGAGGTCTTCAGATTTGGACCCCTCTTTGTTCCGGGCCTGGAAGCCGGATTTCGCCAGTTTTGGGGCGTCGCATTAGGAAGTGGACCTCAGAGCATGCAGCCCTAAGAACCCCTAAACCCGCCAATCCAAAAAGCCTGCATTTCACCTGAAAGCTGCGGAAGCCGACATCGGTCGTCGAATTTCGGGAACCATCTCCCAGGTCGTTCTTCGACCCGGGATCTCCATAAAGTGGAGAGGCCCCGGTGGAATCTAAGAGCTAATTAGGGCGTGTGTCGGATTTGGGGTTTGGGTGTTGAGGGCTGAGGTTTGGGTTTGGGGGCTCCAGGTTCAGGGCTCACGGGAAAAAACAACTAGACTGCCGGAGATAATTAGAAGAAGGCGTGTAGCGGTGCGTAGCACACCTCACGCCATCCACTCTGGCGGCCGTGCCACCGTGCCCACCGCCAGCTCATCGCCGAAGGCCACGGCAAAGCCACCAGGATGGATCCCTAAGACTTTAATATCCCATTCAGGTCGCCGACCGGTGCAGGACTCCTCCACAACTGTGCAGAGATATTCTGCACGGCCGGCTTCGGGGCTGAATCGATGCAGCGTGAGGGGCGAGGGCCTCCTCGTCGTGTCAGAGCAGAGGGCATAGATGCTCCCATCCAAGAACCGGAAGTCGTCAACAGGGCCCGGCAGATCGATGGCTGGAACCAGGGCTGCGGCATATCTGAAGTCCACCATGCTGATGAGACCTTGGGGACCTCAGGGGTCTCCCCGAAAGTTAAGAGTCGCTACAGGGTCCAAAAACCCTCACCACCCGGAGCCCACCCCTATACCCAGAAACCCCGATTGAACTCTCCGCAATCATTTTCACAACTCCCACCTGCAAGACTCGAGGTCTGTGGAACCAGACCGCAGAAGACCTGAGGGAAGCGTCCTGCCCGCAAAGGCCACAGAACCATTGCAGCGCCTCTCTCAGGGCTTCGGAGTGTTTAATGTAGGGGGGTATAACTATTTAAAGTATAATAATAATATACCCCAAAAACCCTCATCTAATGTTTAAGGCACCTATAAGGTGGGCCTTTTGCCCCATCTGGACGTCTTACGATGGCTTTGGGCGTAGGCGTTTTGGGTTCGAAGCTCCCATTCGGACTATGCGAGGCGTTTCGGAAGTCCTCAGGGTTCAGAGACCTTTGAGTGTGGGCTTACAAGGCTCTGGGTTACACGGTTGTGAACAGGTTTGGAAGGGGTTTACGGGTTTAGTTGTTATTTTGGGGGGGTTTTAGGGTTTGGGGCGTTTATATAGAGGGTGTAAGGTTTCAGGCAGAGCGAAACACTCAAGCATGCTCGGGGATGGGTTGATCATTCCGACGAGGTTGTCGCAAAGTTAGACCAAAAAGCCAGACCAAACATCAGCATCAGTGTATATGTTTCTGATTCCGAAACGTGAACAATGCACTGTCACTGATCGTGATAAGACTAGCAAATACAAACCCACCCTGCGTGCACCCGGCCCCATGATCCCAGGCAACCCCTCAGCCGGGCCCTCATCGGTCACGGGAACATCCAGCACACAGGGATCGCGACGCCGAAAGTCGAAGAGCATGGCGGAAAAGCCGGTGGTCAGGGAATGCTCTCCAACCATAGGGACCTGAAGGCGCTTACTCGCGGCTTGAAACAAGTCACAACTCTACGGACAACACCGGATCTAGAGGCTCAAGGCTTCAAGAAGGGCTTGGTTCAGGGAATCGACGACTCCACGCCTGGTTTAAGGAGCAGCCCCCATCGAAGCCGTCCACAGCATGTAGGAACTTCCCTCTGGAAGCCCGGCTGCCGCCCTCAACGACGGCTTGCCCCGAGCACTCGAGGTCGATGATGTCCAAACCCGAGGGCACGCGATTCCGCTGCGTCTTTAAGGCCAGGACCTTGCCCTCCGTGGTGATGCGAAGATCATTCACCTCATACGAATTTCGAGGGCTCCAAAAACAAGGCAATAAATATGCGAATCAAGACCAAAGCCAAGCCAGTACAACGTGACAGTAATATCAAATCGTGAGGATAGGAATAAGAAGAAGAAGAAGAAGAACCCACCTTCTCGTGGCAGGCGAACTGCTGCACTAAAGAATACTCGCCCTTCTCGGTGCCGAGCCTTGTGACGGGGTCAACAGGATTTTCCATGGTATATGGGAAACGCATAGCTCTTGCACAAGGCTGTTCTGGACTTCAGCAAGGCTTCTCAAAAACTTGAAAAGTTGCCAGATATCTGCACTTCGGGATTAAACCTCCCCCGCCTCCGATACTTTGTCCGTTGTAGCCCTGATGCAGTTTCAGTTTTCTCCAGACCCTACGGTAGTTATTCGGGCGCCTTTGCTGGAAATTGGTACGAGCCTGCACAAAAACAGGTTCAGCAGATAAAATCTCATGCAACACCGACCCGAAAAGGTTTCGCTAAAAAAGATGCCCCAAAACTTAAAACCACAAAGCCATAACGCGGAGACTCCAAAATCGCTTAACAAAAGTGATCATTCCCTCTG